TTTTAGGAGAATAATTTATCATTAGAATATGTTGTTTATCAAAAGGAAAATCAGTTGCATAGCCAAGATACTACAATTAGGAATATAGAAAACCAGTTGGGATAAATAGCTTCTACTCTTAGTAGCCATCCTCAAGAGATGCTTTTTAGCAATACCAAGGTAAATCCAAAAGAGAATAGAAGGGAGCAATAAAAGCAAGAGTAAAGTATAGATTTCTCGGGCTGACGACGTTAAACTAAGTGCTTCGTGGGAGACATCCTATGGTTATATTTCTGTTAGTGTGTAGTGTTTTTGTTAGTGAGAGTATTTGTTTGTTGAGTTTGACTAGTTGTGACTGAAATGTTGGATATTAATTATGGATGTTATGTGTGAGAGTGGATTGATTTGTGGGTTTGTGTGTCATGAGGGAGGTGATTTCTTAACTTCTTGTCATGACCAAAATTGCTTATGCTCTTTTGTAGTTGTAGAATTGACGAGTCCACTACGACTCTATTCTCAGCCAAAGCTATGCATTACTTGAGGCATAAGAAGTTTGGACATTGGACAAGTCCATTTCAATTCTATTACTTCCTTTGTCTGGCCTTATTTTCATTGAGTAGGGTCATGAGCCTATTCGATGAGTAATCTGATGATGAATTACACTATCTTAAATCAGTTAGAGGTGCATAAATTAGAGGATGAGAGGTTGGCAATACTTAGGCCAATATAGCAGGATAATATGATCCATGGGATAAACCCAATCAAATTAATGAAAAGCACCCATTTGATCAGTGTAGGTAGTTCGTTAGAAATTGGAAGTATGGTAGGGAGATGAGATGAAAAGGAGGATGAATTAACCTCATTTATTTTATCGTGTTTGATGTATGTGTTAGAATGTGATTGAGGATTTGAGGAAGAATTAAAGGACTCATTTATATGATCAAAACCAAAATTAGAGCGAGCACTTGGGCCTACGAGGCTCATGGCATCAAAATGCCAAATATGAGATCGGCGCCTAGGCACCCAAAACTCGATGCCAAGGTGTTGCCCCCTGGCGCCTTGGCACTCGAATCACAACACCTAAGCGCTCAGTTCATGGGTTTGGTTTAAATAGCAGTAAGGCCAAAATTTGGTCATTTTTCATGTGTATTATTCCTTGACTCCGTACAGGTGATTCTTGGGCAATTCTAAGGAGGTATTGTTCTTCTCAATTTGAGCTCAATCTCTAGGGTTTCAAGCATGAGATCCATCTTACTAACGTAAATTTCATCGCTTAAGCCCTGCATTTCCTTTTTCATCTGGGGATTTGAAATAATTCTGGGAAACCAGTAAGTAGAGGAAGGAGATTGAGAGGGAGATTGATTTACTTCTTTAACTTTCATATTGATTTAGTTTAGTCATCCCAAAATCTTCTTAGGTCATTCAAACCATTGGGTATTGCTAGGTATGGCTCCTATGCTTAGGTTTCAAAGAGTCAAGGTCATATTTGATAAGAGGAAATTCATTAACTTCAAATCCCAGGAGAGATACAATCAAGTCTTGTTACCAAAGAAGCTGATAGCTGAGCAGGGATTCATGAGGCCTGGGGAGCAAGTTGAAAGCATTATTATGGAGAGAAATTGGGATGCTCTTTTCTACACCACCGTTGTAGTAGTAATTTTAGTAGTCAGGGAGTTCTATCCAAACCTCTATGATATACATCTCGATTCAGTTATTGTACGAGAGAAGCAGATGGCATTTACTTCATCGCACATCAATGCAGTACTTTTGTTGAGAGATGTTCCAGTATGTTACTAGAAAGACTTTGCCCCTATTGAAGCTAAGTAGAATGAAATCATCAACTTCCTCATGAATGAATAAGGAACTCGGAAGGTTAGAATGATTCGAAAGTAAACTTTTTTTCATCAAAACTAAACGCACCTTCCAAGGCTTGGCACCACTTCATCTCTGTCGAGCTCCTTCCTTCTTTCAACCTTAGTGGGGTGACAAAGGAGAGAGCAAACTTGAACTATTGTATCCAAACTGAGAAGTTTATTGATATTGGAGCTCTGATTTATTACTCCATCTTAAATTTTTCAAAGAGGGGATCTACTATGGGATTGAGACATCCTTCCACTATTTTTGCCCTTTGTCAGCAATCCTAAGTTCATTATGGTAGTCAAGAAGAACTATTGCCGCCATTAAAGCTTATTAGTCGGTCGACTGTGATGTTGTATAACAAATATGCTTTGGTAGGACATGGAGCAAGTTCTTCTTGGGGCCCTTCTTCTTCATTTATGCATTCCACATCTTCGTCAAAACCTCGACCTTCTTCCAGCATGACAGTCATGGCAGAGAGACTAAAGAAAGTGGAGGAGGATGTTAAGTATATTCCACGACTTCATCAGATTCGATGTATCATATTGCTGACCATTTGAATCAATTTTATTGACAAAATAAATGCAAGGCTAATCATGCTGCAAGGTTTCAGGCTGTTCAGGTGAATATGTACAGAAAGAATCTATGGATTGGTGGAGACCCATCAGATGAGTTTTCAACCTGCTTATTTTATCAAATATATGAGCTGAGAGAGAGGTTGGATGAAGATTTACCAAGGAATAATGAACAAGAAGAAGATGATGAAGATGCAGAAGATTTAGTGTGATAATTTTTATGATCTTCTTTATGTTTAGTTTTTTGTACTGTGTTACTGGTTGTTGTTGTAATTTCTTTTCATTTTTATCCTGAATAATTTTAATCTGCCACTGTTTTAATTTGAAATATTTGTACACAAATTTCTTTCAGGATATTTTATATTTCTAAGCTAATACCTGCATTGCTTTTTAAAATTTCTTTAGTTTAGTTTTCTTCTTGCATGTGTAGTTTAGATTTACTTTCTACTACATACTTTTATATCTAGTAGAATACTTGTAAATGTTTCTGATAGACTTATATGGTAGCATGTATTTCAGAGCTATGATTTTTCTTCCTGCTTATATTTTTCAAAGTTCTTAAATTCTAACTTTGTATTTTATAGGAAGCCTAAGTTTAACAGATTACAATTATATTTGAATTAGATAGAAAATCTGGATTCCTAAGTTTAATACTATATATTCTATAACCTATTTTTAGTCCAATTTGCTAGAACTTCTTCTAGGTTATACTACAACATTCTTGGAGCAAAATTGTTGGAAATCCTAAGAAACCCACAACCTCAAATCAATATATTTAGTTTTTAAAGTTGTAGTGTTACTTGAGGACAAGTAACATTTAAGTTTGGTGGAATTTGATATGTCTTTGGATATACTTAATTAATTTTTTATTTTACACATTTTTTTAATGAAATTATACTTTAATGGGAGGTATTTTATGTTTATGATGTAGGCATGACAGGAAGGAGCATTGGAACGAATTTTGTTTGAACTGGAGCGAAACGAAACCAAATGGAGCAAATGTGCTAATTGTGGTCTGGCACCTAGGCGCCCACTTTTGGGCACCAAGGTGTTGCAAATGAACACCATGACGTTGGGTTCTTGGCGCCTAAGCATTTAGAGCAGATAGAGAGCAAGGTGCTTAGGAGCCGCAAACTGGGCACCTAGGTGTTGTTGTTCAAACAGTTACTTTCTACAAGACTTCGGGAGTTATTTTACGGGTGCTGACAGTTCAGACTGAGAGTTTCGACAATCTTAGGAGTAGAGAAGAAGTTTCAAGTCCTGAAATTCTCCAAGGACATTAGGTAGGAGTAGGAATTCTTGTTCTTGAGAGATTTGCAGAGAGCAATTTAAGAGCATCTGTAAGGGGTTTATGACAGCAACTTGTGTAGCACTGTGGAAAACATCATCTGGTAGAATTTGCTTCTCTATTTAGAGGGAAAAAGCTAAGTATCGTGTGTAATCTTATTTGATTATTTTTGTAAACACATATTTGGTTGATTTGCTTGGATTGAATGAAGTTTTCTTTGGTGTTTACCATGTGTTGTGAGTAGATTTCTTATATTTTTCTCTTGTGATAAATTTGTTAGATTTGAAGGGTTGTGAATGCTTTGAATTGATTTTTATTTTTATGTGATGAGTATATCTCTAAACTTAATTTACATGTTGTATTGGTCATATAACTTGTTAAAATTCGTTGTGACCCATTAGGACTCGAAATAGAGGTGGCGAAACAACGTAGAATATTCAAATTGTGTGAATGGCTATGAAAGATGAGTCATGAGGCAATGCAACTTAGGGAGATGCGTATCAATATAATTTGAATTAGGAGTTTCACTTGTGACAGACGGAAACAATTACCTAAATTTGAGTCATACTCATTTATGCACTCTAAAGAGGATACATAAGTCCTATGCTCATGTTGTCACTACCACATTACAATTCTTAGTAGTAACACTTACAATCTACCAAGTAAATCACATGAGAGAACTACATTTATCAATCTTAAATTTCACCTTTTTAATTGATCTGAACAAGTTTAACTTAGGAGTAGAAATATACTTCGGAGTAGTTGTTAGAAAAACCATATTTAGCGATCTTACAAAATAGAACATGAAAATAGTAGGATAGAATTCACCCTTAAGTTGTTATTACTATGAAGTCTCTACCACCTTCTATGTTAGATCGACATTCTGAACTCAAGTAGAGCTCTATATTATGAAAGTGATACGTGCACTTGCGTAGGAACTCTAATATGTAGGTAGAGATTGTGAATTAAATTAAATTATAATTACAATGTTAGTACCTTCTGGGGCCATCAAACACCATCATTTTAGCTTTGAAAAAATCAAATATACCTTTACATAGATAATGTAGCATGTAAAAATTAAAGTGTAGGTGTTAGATGTGTAAAAACCTGAGGATTGAGCTGTGTTTAGGTAAATCTTCTTCTCTAATTTTTTTTAAGAAAATATAGCTCAGAAAAAAAATCCGTTCATTACAAATTTATTTATATACATTTATAGGTTTTGGATTAGCCATCATAATTTTTTATAACATGTATAATGGAGTTGATGACCAAAACGTGCTTTGGGAAGGTATTGAGCTCTACTTTTTCACGATCATCTCGTAGCTGCAGTGAAATTCTAATGTATGGTCCGGTTCCGAACTTGGGTCACTTAGCAGAGAAACAATTGGTACATTTGATTTTACTACGCCATAAATCCACAAAACCAGTCAATAAATTCGCCACCTTCGTCGGGTTTCTTCCTCTTCCCCTCTTCTACCAATGAAATCAGCGAACATTTGAGGATAAAATAACTTTTTCTCCTCTTCAACACTCTTCCAAGAACCAAAAAGCTTTATTTTAAGGTGAACTTAACATGTCTCTCCGCCATCCATTCCCACTTCTTTTAGGAAAGTACTAGGAAAAATGGTCTTTTGCTGTGTAACAAGCTAACATTTGTGATTCCCAATCAGTTAAAGGGCTTATAAAGCTGCAGATGTTCATCTCATATGGTTTCTGATCTTTCTTCTCCGTATGGGTTCTGGTTATCTGGCTTCATCCCTCTTTCTCGTTCTGTTCTTCAAATGCTTGGCTTTTCAGCAGCCTAACAGTGATGGATTTTTCCTTGCTGATTTCCTTAAAAAAATGGGAGCTAAGCTTCCCTCAACCACCTCTTCTTCCGTTTGCTCTTGGAGCGGAGTTTCCTGTGATTCCAATGGAGAGTATGTGATAGGTTTCGTGGCTTCTGATCTTGGACTCTCTGGCTCTATCCCTGAAAACACCATTGGAAAGCTCAGCAAGCTTCAAGCTTTAGATCTCAGCATCAACAATATTACCAAGTTATCTTCAGATCTATGGGGACTTGGCAGCTCTCTGAAAAGCCTCAACCTTTCAATGAACAGAATTCAGGATTCTCTTCTAAACAACATTGGCAACTTTGGCAACCTGGAAAGCCTCGATCTTTCGCAAAATGATTTCTTCGGAGAAATTCCTGCAGGCATTAGCTCTATGACGAACTTGAGGTTCCTCAATGTCAGCAGAAATGCTTTTGGGGGGAAGATACCAGAGGGAATTGCTGATTGCAAATATCTAGTCACATTAGATCTATCTGTTAATAAGCTCAGTGGGAGCTTACCTGCCGCATTCAAAAATCTAAGCTTTCTGGATCTTTCTAGGAATCAAATTCAAGGAGCCATGCCTGATTTGTCAGGTTTCAAATCCATTCACCATCTCAATGTTTCTAACAATTTGCTTCAAGATTCGATCACTCTTGTATTTCAGGCGACATTAGAGGTATTAGACTTGAGCAATAACCAGTTTTCTCAGGTTAATCTTGGTTCCAGTTTCAATTTTTCTTCCTTGGTTTATCTTGACATTTCCGGGAACAATCTAAACGGAGATCTTTCTAGTATCTTACGCCAGGCTTCGTTGCTTAAGCATTTGAACTTTGCTAACAATAGATTTTCTCAACAAAAATTTCCTCAAATACATGACTTTTATATGCTAGAATACCTCAACTTGTCTGAAACCAATCTAACAGGAAATTGTCCTTCTGAAATATCCCAATTGGTTGGTTTGAAAACACTAGACATTTCTCATAACCAGCTAAGTGGCAAAGTTCCAAATTTGATGATGGTTAACCTTACAATTTTAGACATCTCCTCAAACAATCTCACAGGTGAAATCCCTTCACAGCTTCTCGAAAAGCTGCCACGTATGGAGCTGTTCAACTTCTCCAACAACAACCTCACCTTCTGTGCGAAGAAATTTTTGCTCGAAAGATTCAACTCTTCCTTTATTGGATCACAGAACAGCTGCCCACTGGCAGCAAACCCTGATGCCATTTCATCTATCAATGTTAAGCACAAGAGGTTGAAGCTTGAGTTAGCAATAACCCTCTCAGTGTTTTGTGTTCTAGTAGGAATTATTTGTCTTTCTTTTGCTTGTAGAAAGAGCACAAGATCATGGGCAGTAAAGCAGCTATCTTACAAAGAAGAACAAAATGTTGAAGGCCCTTATTCGTTTCGAACTGATTCAACAGCATGGGTTGCTGATGTCAGGGTAGCCACTTCAGTACCAGTGGTCATGTTTGAGAAGCCATTGTTGAACTTCACCTTTGCTGACCTATTAGCTTCAACAAGCAATTTTGATAGGGGGACACTCTTATCAGAAGGGAGCCTTGGGCCAGTCTATAGAGGCATTCTACCTGGAGGAATTCAAGTTGCCCTGAAGGTTTTGGTTAATGGAGCTGCATTGACTGATCAAGATGTTGCCAAGGAGCTGGAGAGACTTGGAAGAATAAAACATCCCAACATAGTCCCATTGACAGGTTACTGCTTAGCTGGTGATCAGAGAATTGCTATATACGAATATATGGAAAATGGAAATCTTCAAAATCTTTTGCATGATTTGCCATTGGGAGTACAGACTGCAGAAGACTGGAGTACCGATACTTGGGAGAACGAGACTAGCAGTGTTCAAAACATCACTACCGAAGGTGTGACAACTTGGAGATTTAGACACAGAATTGCGCTTGGCGTGGCTCGAGCATTGGCATTTCTGCATCATGGTTGCTTCCCTCAGGTAGTGCACAGAGATGTAAAGGCAAGTAACATCTACCTTGATTCAAACTTGGAGCCCAGGCTTTCACATTTTGGATTGGAGAAGGTTGTGGGGAATGATTTGGATGAAATCTCTGGAGGATCACCTGGATATGTTCCTCCAGAGTTATCTGATCCAGAGAATGCCTCCTCTTCTGCTGCTACTCCAAAGATTGATGTGTTTGGTTTTGGTGTTGTGCTGTTTGAGCTTATTACAGGAAGAAAACCGGTTGGCGAGACTAGTCTGGTAGACTGGGCTCGAGCGCTGGTGAAGAAGAGCCAATGCTCGCTGGCAATCGATCCTAAGATTAGGGAGACTGGACCAGAGAAGCAAATGGAAGAAGCTCTTAGAATTGCTTACTTGTGCACTGCTGACTTGCCTTCCAAGAGGCCATCAATGCAGCAAATTGTGGGTCTTTTGAAGGACATGGAGCCTGTAGCCAGAGATTAGAGTGACAAGGGACAGTCAGATAAGGAGCTGTAAATTTCTTAGTTCATTAATCTAATTCTAGTATTGACTACGAATACTACAATTAAGATATTTCTGAGAAGAGTTCTGTAATTTTTCTAATTGTAGACATATCTCTGCTAGTATTATAATGTGTTTTTGACCCTTTATAATGCATTAGCCTTTAGCCAATATTTCTTGTGGTAATCACTATAAAAAAGCGATTTTGATACTGTTTTGCATTAGTTAAAACTCTTGTAATTACAATTGTGCATTTTAGAAATTGTAACACAAGCGTTGCCATTGTTTTCCGTCAATAAGAGTTTTTGCACTGATGTTGAAACTGCTAGTATAGGTATATTATGGTGGTTTTAGCCGCTGTAGACTAAATTGTAGCAGCTGCTATAGTATTACAGTATTTTAGCTGCTACAAATCTTTGTAGTGATTAACACTGCTATTCACTTGTAATTGTTGTGAATTTGTAGATATGAGAATTGCAATGGTTATAATAAGCATTAGTGAAAGAGCCAATGTCATTTCTAAACAAATCTGAAGAGAGCTTTTCTGAAGAATTCTTCAAAGAAATGGTGACTTAAATACTTGTAGTAGATTATGCAATGTGCAAAGCAGAGATGATATTGTTGGGCAATATAAATTTTTTGGATATATATATATATATATATATATATATATA